TCATTTCAGATTGAAAGTTTTGGAATTGCATGATAATAAGTGAAAGATGTTATCTTTATCTGTTATATTTTCTTTTATAAAATTATAATATTTTACATATTTATCATTGATATTCCCTTTTTACCTAATATTTATATTCATGCATTTTAAGAGTAATATTTAAAATATAAAGTATTATATTATATATCATAAACATTATTTCTGTAGTTATTTTTATAAATCTGAAATAAGATTATTATCTCCCTATATTCATGTATTTATATTTAAAATTAAGGCTTTATAACACTGTTATGAATGCTGAAATTTTATGATGATAAATGCATGGTAATGTTTTACTCTATACTGGGGTAGAGTAGGGTTTGATGATATATAAACTTTTCTTTATGCTAGAACTATAATATATCAGAAAATTCATGAATGGTATATAGAAGGTTTAATATAATATAATTAAATTTCTTTATGTACTAATGTTGTCTCAATCATATTTATACCTTATTATGTTTTTCATGTATAAATGCAATGTAGAATAAAGTGGTAGAAAATTTATGATATTATATAAATCTTAGGCTACATCTTAGCCAATTGAAATCTCAATATGTTTAATTTCATTTATATTTATATTAATAAATAACATAAGATTACTAATAAGAAAATATTTTAATAATAAGAGATAAATAATAAGAGGCAGGCAGTGCTAGGAATTGCAAGAGCAAGAGGAGGGTTGTCATGGTCAAGAGCAAATCAACACCAAGAAAGCTAGGGCAAAGATCATGTGCGAATCAGTGAAACAGACTGGCCCAATAGTTCATGAAGAATTCTATGAAGAATTGCTGTAGATTAGACTTTATAGAATATAAGTAATATTAGTCTATGAAAAAATTGTTATTAGTATTTGAAAAGACCAGTTTGACATAAAAGGATCAAAATCATCAGGTTCCAACTATCATGCATGCAAAGTGTTCCATCAAAGGAGAAATAGGCTGCTGAGGACTACCTTGTCCAACTCTTTGAAGCCATCAATTTATGTGCCCTTCATGGCAAAAGAGTCACAATAAGTAAGTATTCAAATAACACATACAAAAAGATTATAGAATTTATCAGCCAGCTTGAAAATTATACATTTACCCTGTCGGCTTAGAGGAACCTTGGAGCATTTCATTTGATACTACATTTCTTTTTCTTGCAAGTTCACTTAGAGTTTACCATGCAGCTTATACTTATTGATTAGAATCCTCAAATTTTCTTAGAAAATTGCTGCTACTTTCAGGCATAAATCACTGTTAATTTCAGGAATCCTCAACCACATATTTTTGGGAAATTAAATTTAGTATTGGCAAAAGATCTTACCTGGAAAGAGATGTAATTAAAAGCAAAAGTAAAATAACATAAGATTACTAATAAGAAAATATTTTACACAACAGATATCTAGAACTATTAACTCTTCTATTTTAAGTTATAAAATATCATATTTTTATAGAAACTATTTTATTTATATTATAAATTAGATATTTTTCTTTATTGTATTTAGTATTTTTGAAATTTATTTAAACTTATTCTCTAAAATTACATTATATTGTTATTTTAGATTTTTTTTCCATATTTGTATTCGATATCCTCTCCCTTCAAAATATCATACTTTTTAGAAGTACTATCTAAAAGTTAAAGTATTATATTTTATGTCATTAAGATTCTTTCTGTATGTGTTTTTATATAGAGAGAATGCGAAAATGAATTAAGATTATTATCTTTATGTTTAGTTTTATTTTTATATAAATTTACAATGAGGCTAAAATCTTTCAATGAAAGGTAACTTTTTATCCTGATATTATGGTATTGATGATTCATAATATTGTTTTTTCCTAAAACCATAACATATCAGAAAATGAAAAAATGGTCCATAGATTGCTTTATTAACAATAAATTTTAAGTGATGATGAATCACATTTTTTAAGATGGTAGCCTTTTGTATTGTGTCTAATGTTGTCTCAATGATATTATATTTATCTGTTTTCCACGTATCAATGCACAAATTATTAGTGTAAATAACAGACTTATTACATATTCATCAATGAATCTACTCATATTGAGTTGTCTATGAGCTCAGATATAGTCTCATATTTATGCAATATCATAAAGTTATAAATCATAAGATTATGATAAAAGTATAACTTATTTACAAGATATAATAGCTGGAGCTATTCAACTCTTCTATTTTAAGTTATAAAATATATCATTTCTATAGTCACTAATTTATTTACTTTTAACTTTATAGTATATCTTTTATTGTGTGTACTATATACCATCTTTGTAATAAAAATTATGTTTAATTTTAATAATGTAGTATTTAATTAATTAGATACTCTTTGTTCTATAAATTTTTTGTTCTAGAAAAAAGAGTATTTCATTGATTTGAGACTATATTTTTAAACATATTGAACATATTTTTTGTTTTAAAAATATCGTATATAGTAGACATAATAAAAAAACTCATCAATGAATACCATCTTTCTACAACTAAATGTTTAAAATCATTTGAACCTAGTGCATTATATCATCTTGGATCAGTTGTCCAATTTCCTTTTATATGTATTACAATATCACTTATGCCTCCTTGAATATTTGTTGAATTTAACTCCAGAGAATACAAAAAAGAAAAACGCAAGCAAATGAAGTTAGTAATGGTGAAAAGGAAATAGGAACTTACTGCTGGCATTTTCTTTTAAGCCACTCGAACTTTCTTCATGCCCAAGTCGTTCTCAAGGCCAGGAGCACTCTTTTTTACACCACTCCTTCACAGCTTGTCGATCTTAATGCTGCAATTGTTGGCAAATCCATGGGTGTTGCCAGTTGGCGGAACATCTCCAGTTTCACATATTCTGCAAGCATTGTTTTTGCCCATATTACTTTCCAAACAAATCTCCACATTAGTGGTAAAAGGTATGAGTGCTTGATTTCCAGTAGCATTTGCTACAATTACATCCCCTTCTAAAATGGCATCCACAGTTTTCTGCTTTCTTTTGCAGCCCATTTCCAGCTAGTTATTTCAATTTGTATAATGCAAAGTAGAATATCTTTGGTAGGTGTTAGTTCTGTTTAGATCATCATGCAACGATACAGTTTCTTATCGATAAGTTTTTTTGGTTTTTTTTTCTGCTTTGTATTCAAGCAAACATAGCAATAGCACAATAGAATAGAGATTCTTGTATGTGCAGGTCACTCTTCTGAACTGTTTTCTTCTTGCACGCTTCCTTTTGAATGTTTTAAGTGTTTTTAGGATCGTGATCTGGAACGACATATAAGACATTTTGTTTTTTACCTAAAACCTTTACGAGAGAGAGCAAAATACTAAATAAAATCAAACACGGAAATCATTTCTATGCCCTGATTTAATATACAAATATCATGTACCGAATCAAACCAAGCTCATGGCTTCAAAGTTGTGTCTATAAACACGTACATACACAACAGTTTATTTAATGCTGTCTTATTACTTCAGAAATGGCTTTTTTGAAAACAGTTCATGGCTTTGTCTGTAAGAAAGTAGAGTAGGCTGCCATGTAGAGCTCCAATCCTTGTTCTCCACCACCTCAGCTGCCATGTACTTTGCTGTGGTGATATCTCCTAAAGGTGCTGATCACCACTTTGTCGCGCATGTTTAGCTTAGAAAGAGTGTTGTCGAGCTTGAGATCCTGGTGAACCACACCCCTCTATTTGAAGGTCTTTACCAGCTGCTTGATGATTCTGGCTACTTTCTCCTCACCAATCTTCTCGCAAACATGCTATATTTAAAAGACCAAATAATTATGGAATAACGCCTTAAGAAAGGAAGGCAATATTTCCACCAACGAACGTAACCACTCGAGGAAAAATGCCCGTGCCCTGTGCAAAAGGAGACTCGGACAACACCACAAAGTCAGCAAACTTTCTTTGTGTTAGCGACCCAACCAAATCCTCCAATGCAGCTGCATACACACAGTTTGGTCTTTACTACGGCCTTTTGGACGTCTTGTGGTTTCCTCCTGTGATGTTTTCCTTCTTGGCGTTAGAGAGTAACTGAGGATCAAACGAAACAGACCTTGCCATGTAAGATTGCGCTGCCTGAGCAAAGCCAAGCTTGTACTAGAAGAGCAGCCCACGGAAGAGTTTCCCATTGATGGAGGCTTCTAGCGTGTATCCGTAGTTGAATACGTCGCTTTCTCTAGCTTCAAACATCTTCTCGCCTAGCAGCTGAACGTGAGCTTGAAACTCTGTAGCATGAGTTTGACAGGGAAAAATTGGAGAGGTCCAAGGTTTTCCGCAGATACCTCCGTGAGATGAAACCAAGCTCTTCTCCGCATCCTGTTGCTTGTCTAGCACGAATGGCGTGGCACGATACTTTTGCCGCCTTCTCTTAAGTTCCTTATGCATGGATAGCTTTGGTTCTGATGGATCTTTCTCCCTCAGCATCTCTTCACAGAAAAACAGCAACCATATTGTCAAGAATGGCAGCAATGTCAATAAAAGGGAAATACATGTCATCCAGAGCTTCAAGCTCTTCGTTACATCCCTCATAGAAGAATAATATGCCTCACTCTTCGTCCACGGAATCTCCTGCAAGGGAGAAACGTGGAGAAGGCCCAGGACCAGAGGGATTCGAAGTCGCCCAAACACCAGTCGCTACAAAATACGTAAAAGCCCCATGAGAGACCAACAGGAAACAAATCTACCTACAAGCGAAATACTTTCCATGGCTGATTGTTGTGTGCCCGGCTCCTAGCATCAGCTCGGCACCAATCGTCTTTACCTCCCACCATGCCATTGTTTCTGGATTACCACTGTCCTCGCCACCCATGACAACGAAACAGTTCTTATAGGAAGAGCAGGTATGGCTATCCCAAGGAATAGGCGAGACTCCAGTGGTAGAAATCTTCTTCCAGACAAAAGTATCTACAGGAAAAAAAAAGTTTAGAAGAAAACAAGGAAAGATAACAGAATATTACTCGTGTTCAAAACATGGAGGACGTTGTAGTACTCCTACTCTGAGGGATCGCTGGATTTCCCACATCCCCCATACACGAATCGACGCTGTCTCCTTGTGGTCACGCGCCCTAAAAGACATTTGAAATTTTTTATGATCCCAAAAGTCAAGACTTTACATTGTTTAATCTCAGCCATTAGATTTTGGCATATGCCTAGAATAAGTGTCCCCAGTATATGCTATTATTATACGGGCTTTTTCGTTTAAATATATGGGTACTAGCAGGGATCCCAGCTCCGCTAGGAGTAGTAGAGAATATTTTCAATTTGAAAAGATGTATTTGTAACTATAATTATTTAAACTATTTCTTTTTCTTAATTTGTTTTAGCATGTTTATTTTTATAAGTTGCTACCAAGACTTACAGCTTTGATTCCAATGTGTATTATACAGCTTTACCAGGTTTGCAATTCCTTCATGCCTTTTTAGTCATTTCTTTACTGCACTAACTGGTTTTTCTCATGACAAGTTTGAGCCACAAAATCACAGATATCATGTAGTGATGGTGGTAGTGACAGTTTAGTGACCCTTCTATGAAAGTTCTTAAGCACAATTCTTAGGAATGGAGCTCTACCTCAGCTTCATAGAAATTGCTTAATGAAAAAACAGCACTATAAAAAAAAAATTATAAACTAAACAATGAAGAATCCGAGTAAGCATGTCAAGGAAAAGAAAAAGTACACATACCTCGAGTGGTCATTAGGGAGAGAGCAATAGGAGTGGCATGAAACTGGATTGGCGCTATGTAGCATTTAAAAAGCTGCAAAACAGAGGTGAGGCACCAAACACCAAGAAAAAGAAAAAAAAAAATGAAAAAATGATCATAAGAATCATAGAACACAAGCAAGGTAAGCCAGAAACTTGCTTAGAAATCTCAGCCGGCCTAAACAACAAAGTTTCTTACCTTGTTACTATTACCAGTTGCTACTAAGACTTACAGCTTTGATTCTAAGCTGTGCGTTCTGCAGCTTTTGTTTTTTTCTCATGACCACAAACATCATGCAGCGATGGAAGCAGTGACAGGTTGGTGACCCTTGTGCGGAAATCCACATTTGCAGTTAAGTTCTTAAGTGTTGTGTCATAACTCTCAGGAATGGAGCTCTACCTTGGCTGCATTTAAAACTAAAGAATGATTGAAATCAGCAAACAGAAGGAAGGTAAGCAAATTGTAAGTTGTAAATGATGTACCTGCAGACAAATCTTGCAGATGGTGTCCTCTTTTTAGTTGCACCAGTGCTGCACACACTTTTGATGAGCATACTACCAAACACAAAAGAGAGAAAAATAAATGAGGAAGAGCCAGAATTGCTTAGAACTCTCAGACAACTCAAGGAACAAAGTCCCTACCTTCAACCTGCTGCAACAAGAGCATGGGATTTCAGGATTCCCAGTCTCGTCTTTCTCCTGCCCACCACCATCACAAGGATCACTCCATAAAGCCTCCATCGATAAAATCCCAACAGGGCAAAAATAGAATCTACTGAACATGAAAAAACAGGTTTTGAGCTGGTTCCATTCTTATAGAAATGGGACTCGCCCAACCAGTGCTGAGTCTCTCAATGTCCGTGTGTGGAGAGCAAAGAACACAACCAGCACATCTTTAATTTCATGGCAGCCAGGAGCCTTGTGCCATGGAACTTACAGCTGGGTAGGAGAAGGAGAACTCTGACTTGAGAAACTTTGCCATGGTCAGCAAGGGATGAGGAATTCTCACAGTCGACTTGGATGCATAACTCCATGCAATATCAACAACATCGAGCGAGCATGACAAGGAAATTTTGTAAGTTGATCGAATAAATTCTGTATTGATTGAAATCAGCGAATATGAGGAAAGTAAGAAAATCAAAAAATTTAGTGCGGATGACATTACCTGCTGACAAATCTCACAAATGGTGTTCCCTTATCCTTATTCCCAGTGGCTATATTGGGAACCAGGAACTATTCCAAGCTGCAGTGCTCCTGGCCTCATGGAATAAAAAACGTTCTGGTTTCTTTTGAGCCCATCCTGCGTGAATCAAGCAGCTAGAGCTCCAGAAGATTCTTCGAGTTGTAGAATTTGAATGAACTTGAACTTGTACTGAAGTTTTATACATAGAACAAGATGCACACTTCACAGGTAAAATGCCTTGCTTGCTGTGTCCTTAGTGTGCTACATCGCGACTTTTTTTGTCTTGGGATATCTGTGTAAGTGGTTCAATCCTGCTTATCAAGATTGCAAGCTCAATCTCTTCTTTATCATGAGCTCGCTATCTCTTAGCATCTCTTTTTCTGCTATCTTCGTGCATCCTCAGGTAACGACGTTTTCTCTGTTGAGTATGAATGATTGTTTGTTTTTGTTCCAGCTGAATGGGCGCCTGCTACCTGCTCTACTGCATGTAACTATGCTACAATGCATTGTCAAGCGAGCCGTGAGACTACAATTGAATTAGAGTGGCCACCATGCTTATCTCCGTGATATATTCTGTGGACTCTTTGACCACTTTTCTGTCTCTGCCAGCTCCTCCTCGCAAGGAAGGTAACATTAGAGCGACTTTGTGAGTTTTTCTACTCAATTCTTCTTCCAGAAGCTCCTTTGCAACCTTTGCTCTCAAGGAGAGATTTCAAAAACAGCAACAAACTAAGCAGCACTGGATCTGAGAACGACTTCCACGAAGCAAAGAAGCCGTCCCAGCACCGTCCTGTCACGTACATCTACTCATTCTTTTATATCTTGCGAGCATGTACTCGGCTATGTTGCTCACTGGACCGGAGACAAGGATGCTATCGACATTGGCTAGCCTTCAAAATGGGTCCAGATTGGCACAATGTGGTTCACAGCGGCACTATACATTTTATTGTTCATAGCTCCACTCATAGACTTCTTCTAAGCGCATGTGAAGTAAGCTCGAGTTTATTGTAACGTAGTGTTGTAAATTTGGAGAAGAATTAAAAGTCTTTGGTTGGAAGCAAATTAAGAGTTTTCACCATGGGATCTAGTGTTGAAGATCGATTGTGAGAACTTTGGAGCGCCTGCATGGAAGAAAAGCAAACGAATGAGGAACAAAAACTGATCGAGTTTTTCTTTGTTTTTACCTTGTTCTCCTGCATAGATGGGGATCTCATACAGCTTTTGCCGCTAGAATCTCGTGCACATAATCATCTTCAACCTGTGAGATCACACAGTCAGAACAAACGCGCGCCCTAAAAGGTGATAAAAGCTTATGTTTATGAGACGAATGGATCATACGGACAGTATGGTCGAAAGGCTACTTGCTGGTAATGCAGCGGTGGTGGCAGATGCTGAGGTTATGGAGGTGTCACAACCACAGCTGCTGCTGGTTCTTCACAGAACCTGTTGATCAAAGATCATCCTCAATGACTTCTTTTCGGCTTTTTGGTCACCTCACAGAACAGTGATTGTCTAAAGAAGTATTTTTTTTTCTATTCCAGGATAGTCTCCAACATTCAGGAACTTCTCTTGTATTGTGTGGTCAATTTCTTGAGGTCCTTGCTTGGAATTTTGGAATTTTGGGGCCATTTTTGTAGGTACCATACTTTATCAAAATCCATAGTTTGAACTAAAGGCTTCCTTTGTGTGGAGCACTGTCTTGAAGATCATGGGTATAGGGATATTCCCATATATCAAGTCTTGGTAAATCACCATTTCCCTTGTCCAGAAGTCCCAAATCCAACACCTCTGGAAGTCTTTTGTGAATTTTATTTTTATGCATATATTTTATAAAGGTGGGAATATATTGATATTGTAAGTGGACTTAGAATGTTTAAGAAAATCATGTAAAATTCTTTTTGAACTTGACCTAAAATATAAGATTAATATAAAATAAATAGATTATAATACTATAGAATGAAATATAGAAAGAACATATAACATACATACATATAACATGGATTTTGTGGAAAATGCTAATATTGAAGACTAAAAATGATTTATAACATTATTCCTATTTATAAAGATATTAAAAATAATGATATTCTAAGATATCCTCAAGAATTTTTTGTTTCATTATATTTTTATATATATATTCTCTATTTTTATTATTATCATTATATTGTAAAATAGTGATTATTAGTGATATTATTAGCATTTTCTGAACACTATAGTGGTGAGTGATATAATGGAGTTTCTTTGTTTAAAAGAAGAAGTAAACTTGTATTGTCATAGAAGGGTCAAAATATCATCATGTGTGACAAAATTCCATATTTTTTGTTACTGCTCTAATCCCAATTTCCAATGCATGCCATTAATTTTACTGCAATAGTAATATAACTATTCAGTAGCTACGTTATTAATAATTAAAAAGCTGTATTATTTGAAATTTTTAAATTTTTTTTACATCATCATTTAAATTTATCATGGGAGGACCCTAGCATAAATTCTAACTTTTATTTTTTTAAGCTATCTGCTATTTGTATGACATGTGGTTTCTCCTTTTTCTCTACTATTTTTAATTTTTATCGTGCTCATTGAACAGCCCAAGATTTAACACCCTTTCAGCTGTTGAATCTGTGATAATAACAAATACAACTCAAAAACAAAATCAGTCTATGCTATCAAGTTTTTACCCAAGGAACTTCATGTGCTTGGATGTACCAGAAAGGACTCCTTAGCTTATGGAACTGAAGAAGGTAGCTCGAGTTTTTCTTTCATCTCTGAGAAGAAGCTAACAAAGCTTTTGCTTGTAGTAACCTGAGCATAGATGGTGAAAACTGGTGGCAAGGCCATGCACATGCTTACTCAATTCCCAGCCAAGGCACTCTTAAAAGGATTGATTCACCAGGTTTAATATTTGTAGCATCACAAGTCTCCCTGCAAGCTGACTTGGTCACTCAGAGAAACTGAGAGACAGTCTACTTCGTGATTGAGTTGAAGGAACTCAAGTTGGTTGTTTGGTTGTTGTTGCTGTTTGTGGGATTGAAACACCAGAGGATCTTCTCATAGATTGCCTAGGACATGAATGCATCCTTGCCAACACTGATTTTCAGGGGTTGTTCATGTAAGTAGTACTCATTTCTTACAAGTTTGATACTATGCAGGTTAGGTCATTTGTCTGACACAGCAAGGCGTGAATTTCATCGTTAGCATGTAGCTCTAGATCATAAAAAAAAATTGGTTTTTTTACTTCCATACTTGGTCCCGGTGGGAGTGTGAAAGCTTTTCTCTCAGATTTACCAGACACTTGCTGGGCAGGAATGATGGTACATATGCATGAGTTTTTCCTCTAGTGTTTTTCAATCTCTTTCTCTTTCTTGAGCAACTATGGCAATGCTTTCCAAAACTTATACACATATGGCGGATACAGCATTCTTCCCTGCATTGATGCTGTTATTGCCTACATCTCTGAAGATAACAGCACATAGATGATAATTTGGTAACATCACTTGATATCAAATCAAAATCTGGATTTGATCATTTGTAATCTGGATCTATAATACAGCACACTTAGGGATGGACGGTTGCCTGTGAAAGTCTGCAAGAACAAGGTAACTGTAGAGCTGCAAGGAATGAACCTTCAGGAACTTACTCTATGAAGAATCTAATAATCCAGAACACCTTCTGCTCAAGGTTCCTCGGGGATATGAAGAAAGAAACATTTAGACTGCGAGAGATTCCTTAATGACCTTGCCATAAGCAAACACGTCTGCTTGGGCATATAAACTCGTTGGTTGTTATGACAATTTACTGACAATCTCATCTGAATGAATCGTCAGCCTGTGGTAACGAGAGTAATAACAAACTTACTTCTCAAAATCACTGATTGCTGTCTTTTGATGATTCCAATGAAGTCGCACAGAACAACTTGATGTTTGTTACTATCTGAAAGTACTGAGCTCTCCTTCACCAAGGCGCAAAAACGCAGAAAAGCGAGAGTGTTGAGGCTGATATCGTCACTAAACTTGTTTTCTTATGAACGCAAGAATGCCATTCACAGTCTGTGAATATTGTGTTCTTGGTTTCAGTAATGTGTTGAAAGTTATTTCTGGCAACTTTCTCCACCAGTTCAAATGCAAGATGCATAATGCCGCTATCTCTATCTGTTGCAGCAGTAATAAAAATCTGTAATTGATAAAGCATTGATACCTTGTCCAAAATTACTCAAAACTTTGTTACCATAACCATAATTTTCCAGCCAGATTTTACGTTGCCAACTCGGATCCTGCCTCTGTTGAGACCTGTGGCACTCAGGAGGAACCTGGCAACCTCTTCAGGAATTTTCTCCACTTCTTGGCTTTTACAAGGAAATCAATACTCATGCAAGGCTTCTGGTTGAATAGTATGATTCCTTTCTGTATAGTGTAAAAAGCTTGGAATGCCCAGTTCTTCATGCATCCCTGGTGTATAGGGTGGAAAAGTTACAGAAGAAATTCTCAGCACTGGCGCTCTCTTACAATGAAGCAGGGATAGAGGTTACCTGAAGCTCAAGGTTGTGAACACGTCTTTGACTGCA